AAAAAATATATTTTATTGATTTTTTACAGAGAGGAAGGGAGAGGGATAGAGAGTTAGAAACATCGATGTGAGAGAAACATCGATCAGCTGCCTCCTGCACACCCCCTACTGGGGATGTGCCCAGCAACCAAGATACATGCCCTTGACCGGAATCGAACCTGGGACCGTTCAGTCTGCAGGCCGACGCTCTATCCACTGAGCCAAACTGGTTAGGGCTATTACTTTTTTCCAGTGTCATTGATTTATGCTCTACTTTTATTATTTCTCTTCTCCTGCTTATACTTTTATTTGCTCTTCTTTTTCTTAAGTGGAAGCTGGGGTCACTGATATGAGACTTTTTTTCCCCTAACATAGCATCTAGTGCTATAATTTTCCCTCTAAGTACAGCTTTCACTGCATCATAAGATAGAAGGTCAACACACAAAAGTTAACTGTTATGGTCCATATACCAGTGAACAAGTAGAAACCAAAATTAGGAAAACAACACCATTTACAATAGCTCCAAGAAAATAAATACTTAGCTCTAAATCCAATAAAACTTGTACAGAATCTGTAGCTGAAACTACACAACGCTGGTGAAAGAAACAAACAAAAAAATGGAAATAAGTGGAGATATGTCATGTTCAAGGTTTAGAAGATTCACCATCATAAATATTTGAACTCTCCCCAAACTTATCCTATAGACTTAATGCAATTCCAGTGAAAATCCCAGTAGGGCTTTTGTATAGATAAGCTGATTCTGAAATTTACAAAGGAAGGCAAAACTTACATAGGAGGAAAAGCCAAAATAATTTTGTAAGAATAAAGTAGGAATCACACCACCAGATTTTTTTAAAAATATATTTTATTGATTTTACATAGAGGAAGGGAGAAAGATAGTTAGAAACATCGATGAGAAACATCAATTAGCTGCCTCCTGCACGCCCCCTAGTAGGGATTGAGCCCACAACCAAGGTACATGCCGTTGACCAGAATTGAACCCAGGACCCTTCAGTCCACAGGCCAACACTCTATCCACTGAGCCAAACCCATTAGGGAACACTACCAGGTTTTTAAGACACAAAAAGCTACAGTAATCTTGACCATGTACTATTGGCAAAAGGAGAGACTCATAGACCAATGGAAGAGAATACCAAGTCTAGAAATAAACCTATATTAAAATGGCTGATTGATTCTTGACCAAGATACAAAAGAAATTCAGTGCAAAAAGAATAGTCTTTTCAACAAAGGGTCCTGGAACAAGTGGACATCCATTCACGTGTCCCCAAACAAAAACCATAAACCTCACACTTTGAAAAAATTAACTCGAAATAGATCATAAATGTAAATTTAATGTTAAACTATAAAACATTTAGAAGAAAATCAAGAACTGAGGCTAGACAAAGATTTCTTAGACATGCCACAAACAGCATAATCCATGTAAGAAAACAATTTGATAAACTGGATTTCACCCAAATAAAAACTGTTGCTCTCTGAAAACCCGTTAAGTGAAGAGACAAGCTGCAGACCAGGAGAAAATATTGCAATCACGTAGCTGACAACCAATTTGTACCCATAACCCATAACACATAACCCATAAAAGTCCTTGGCACAACAGTAAGAAAATTACCCAATGCAAAAATGAACAAAAAAGAAAAAAAAGTTAGAAAAGAACAAAAATAATTAAAAGGCAAAACAAATTTAAAAACAAAAAATGAACAAAAGATTTGGACACGTCATCAAAGATACACAGATGGTAAATAAGCACATGAAAAGTATTCACCATCATTCCGTTAGGAAAACGAAAATGAAAACCACAGTGAGCTTTCACTACGCATCTATTAAAGTGGCTAAAATGAGAAATCCTGACAACACCAAGTGCCGACGAGGATGCAGAACAACGGCAACTACCTTTTTCTAAAACACGATAGAAACACGCTCAGAGGAAGTAAGATTTTGACATGGTGACTCACCATTTGACTCAACACAAGTTTCTAGTCAGAGAATATATGGAATCAACTTGAACTGTGCACCGAATTTGAAGGAAGTGTAAAATGTTTGCGTGGCCATGGGTGGGGTCCTCTAGATTTCAGCAACCATGGACGCCCACTTCCTCCTTGTTAAAAGCACTCCTGAATGCAGCCTGGGTTGAGCTCTAAAGGAGTCAGCAGGCGTTTTCTGTCAAGGGTCATCGTAGTACTTGCAGCTTCGCGGGCCCTCAGGCCTGTGGCGGCGCCTTCACTCTGCCCCCAGCAGAGCAGTGGGGACAACGGGCCTTTCCATTGGGTGGGTTCCAATCAGACTGCACAGGACTGGCTGCGGCTTGACCTGGCCCCTGGCCCACCGGGGGCTGGAGCGGCAGCGGACAAGGGGCGCCCTCACACATCTAGAACTCAGCTGGCAGCTCCGGGCAGGACCAGGGCCGGCTCCCATGAGCATTAAGCATTTCATTAGCAGCTTCCTGGTTTTGTTGGAAAACATCTCAACTGCTGGCAAGCACGGGCCCGAGGTAGTTTGAAGAGCCATCTCCTTTCTCCTCATCCCTTTCTGCTCCTGTGAAGGAGCTCAACCCGTCACCATCCACGCAGCGAGGGGCTGAGGGACTGCCTTAAGGGGCGGAGCTGCATCAAGAGCCAGTTCTCCGGACCTCAACCCCAGGCCTCTCCCAGGGAATAGCACCCCCCTTACAAACAGGGAGCTCCCCAGAAACACAGGAAGGATCTGCACCTGCCCATCCTGAGAGCAGCAGTGTTTCTCAGGGCCGCCCAGGGAAGGCAGCATAAGCACCCACCGCATCTCATCTCTGGAGGTGGGACCGTGACCTTGAAGCACAAGGACAAGGCACAATGCGTGGCCCCCTGCCCCAGCCCTTCTGGTGGCCCATGACACACGGCGGCAGAGCCAGGGGCCAGGGTCAGCGGAGGCCCCCGGTCTTCACAAAACCCACAGCAGGCTTAAAGGAATGAACTTTATTAATCTACCTGTTAGAGTCCAGGCTAAATTATTGCAACCTATTTACAGAATGCTGCCGGCGGGCCACGTGGGCTGGCCCGGGACTTCCACAGACGCACACCATGTGCAGCCTCCACACAGCCGGGGCCACCAGAACATTTATAGAACATACAGAACCACCCTCAGGGACAGAACACAAGGCAGGAGGGCACAGACCAACGGAGACATGACAGACAGACAGAGGGGCCTGCCTCAGAACTTCTTCAGGCTGTAGGTCAGGCTGCTGGGGACCCGGGGGCCCGGCAGAGGTGGCGAGTTCCAGACGGCGGAGCTGGTGCGCTTGTGGTAGCGAGGCTTGCTCTTCTTGAAGATGTCCTCCAAGTCCAGCTGGCGAATGGTGCCAAAGAGCTCCTGCAGGTTCGGGGGGTGGTAGTACTGGTGGAGGATGGCCTGGCTGAGCTGGGCACCTGCAGGGGACACAGGGCTGGGTCACTGCCTTGGGGATCCCCGTGCACTCTCCACGCCAGCAGGCCCCACCTGCTGCCAGGCCAGCTCCTCGGAGCCCTGCTCCTCCCGCCCCCACCAAACACCATCACCCTCTCCTGCCATCGTCCGGCAGCCGCATCTGCACGCTGGTCCTCAGGCGCTCACAGGGGCCGGGCTCTCATTACCCCACACCCACCTGGAGCCCATCCTTCCTTCTCCCCATTTTATAGTGGTGAGCTGGGCCCAAAGGCACCCGGCTAGTAACTGGCAGAGCCAGGGTTTCGAGCCAAGCTCAGAACTTAAGCCTATGATGCCGCCCGCCCTCGACTCCTGTGCGCAGCTATTTATCTCGGCAGCCAGTCGCTCAGGCCCCGAGGTGGGGGTGCAGACAGAGGGGGCCATCAGGGAGGACCAGGGGGAAGGTGTGCCAGCTTGCTCTACACCAGGCCTTCAGTGTGCTAACTTCTTCCTCAATAACCCTTCTCAGCTGGTGCTATTATCATGCCCATTTCACAGATGAGAAAAAGGAGTTTAAGCTGACGGTCAACTAGTCAGGTGGCTTTGCTAGTCCCCTGGGTCCCTGGCCACAAGGACCCCTGCTAACACCTCCCAAGTGACCGATGCTGGCCGTTAGGGAGCCGGGCTACTGTGGGGCTGAAATGAGGCGGCAGTCCCAAGAGCAAGCTGCCTGCTGCAGCTGCCGGCCCAGCCCTGCACTCTGCCGAGCACCACTGTATGCACGAGCACCACTGTATGCACGCCCGCTCCACTGCCGCAGGCTGCACACCCGGCCCAGGCCGCAGTCACACTCACCCACATCCTGTTTAAGCGCTGGGGCCCGTGAACCGCAAGGTCAAATCCTGCTCCAGTGCCCACCCCCGCGGGCTTCCCTGCCTCCCCAGCGGGATCTCCCACCGGAGCTCGGGGCGCTGCTAAGCCCCATCACCTCTCGGGGCTCTATCCACCCCACGCTGCTTACTTAGGCCCAAGTCTCATCGCCCGCAAGGAGGGGCAGGCCTGCGAGGAGGGCCTAGAGCCGGAACACCCAGCACCAGGTGCCCTCGGCCAGCCCCACGTGCATGTGCTTGGTGAGAACACGGGCGTCAGCATCTGCTCCAGGGGCGAGCCCAGGGGACAGGGCCCCACTCTTCCCTGAGCGCGTCCCAGGCGGGTGCAGGCACCACAGCCTCCCAACACCACACCGGCCCAGCCCCTCCCTCCAGGGCCCGAAGGCACAGTGAGGACCAGGACCCAGAGCTCCGGGCCCTGCTCACCTCTGGCCCAGGAGGGGATGGGCTTCCGGGGATGCGACTCATCATCGGTGGAGTCATCGCTATTCAGGTCCATCCCGTAGTTGTCCGGGTTGATCTTGGGGGGAGCCCTGTGCCCCTGTGGCGTCATTTGATAGGAGGTACAAGCTGGAGACTGGGAAAGTAAACGAGGGCATCAGCGCCCCTCCCCCTCCGAGGGGCTGGGGCCCGGCCACCTCCCCTCCTGTCACAGGAGAAGTCAAAAGGCTCAGGGCCAAGTAAAGTCACACCATACACAACCGGCCTCCGCCTGCTTCATGTGGCAGTTGCGGACGTCCCTCCAGGTCCGCATGTCTCTGTGCACAGCGCCTGGGGACCCCTGGGAACCCCGTGGCCTGACACTTCCTGTGCTGCGCTGAAACCCTCCCTCATAACATGCTGCTTGTAGAGCGCCCAACCGGAAGTCACCTAAGGGCCTGTGAGCAGGCGCTGGTACCAGCAGCCGGTACAGTCAAAAAGGAGAGACTTACAAGTGCCGACATCGGTGTACAACATATTCTAAAAAACGGAGGAAAAAATATCAAGCTGCCAAGTGGCATGCACTGGAGTAAATACAGGCAGCCCTCGGGTTCGTCCTTTCGTGGTTACGTCGCCACCTCCCACTTATTTATAAAAAAAAAAGTTCCGTCATTTCGACATATGTACACATGTGCTTTATGCTTCTTATTTATTTTCCACAAGTAAAGGTCAGGAATTGTTATCTTTCTTTTAAATTGTTTCACTGTTTCCCTTCAGTCCTGCTGTGTCTGTGCTCCATGTGAGTGACGTAGGTGCTTATGGAGGTGGGTTCCCACTTACGGTGAAAATCGCGTTACGTCGCCGTAGGAACGGATCTCCGACGTTACCCGAGGACTGACTGTACTTGTGTCCCCCCCAAATCTGTTAACCCCCCTCCCTCCACACGATGGGATCAGGAGGGGGGCCTCCGGGGGGTGCTCAGGTGATTCGGGTGGAGCCCTCGTGGATGGATCAGTGCCCTTCAAACAGAGGCTCCAGAGCTCTGTCTCCTCCCCTAACCCCCTCCCCCCCACCTCCGAGGGCACAGCGGGAAGAGCTGTCTGTGAACCAGGAAGCGCCCCGCAGACACGGACTCTGCGGGCGCCTTGGCCTTGGCAGTCCTGTCTCAATGCTCGCTTCAGCCACCGGTCTCCGCAGCCAGGGACTAGGACAGGAGGTACAGTCCTGTCCACTCAGAACTGTCCATAATGTTTAGGCATGTAAAAACACAGCGCTTTCATCTGAGGCTCCTTTACTTTCTACTCTTTTATAGGGTGTCCCAAAATTCACGCAAGATTTGAATTTTGCATGAGCATTAACAACAACAACAAAAAAATAAAAGCCTAATTTTACTTGGTTTATTGAATCAGATTCTAATATCTGTTGCCCTTTGATTTCAATCCCTTCAATTTGATAAGCATGACCAAGTACCAATTATGGCCCAGGAGCAGGGACAATGAAGACCAATGAAGACCACGGCTTTGCGTATGTGCCAGCAAAGCCGTGGAGGCCATTTACCCGATGTGCTATTCCATAAATAACCCTATACTGTATACTTTATGAATCCATAAAAAATTTACAATTTTTAATTATAAACCTGTGTTTTCTATCAAAATTACTTCTTGCGTGAATTTTGGGACACCCTATATAAAGTTTAAGTTTCTCTTCTTAAAAAAACAAATTCTATTTTAAGATTAAGAAAGAACACGCGTATCCAGAACAGTGAACTACTGGCCCCCTGCGGCCTCCCTTTCTTAGGGTCCTTAGATCCGACCAGGCCCCCAGCTCCGGAAAGAGAAGAATCAGAACCCGGGCTCCTCGCTGCCCGGGGCCCAGCCTCACCTGCACGTCCACGGTCGTGTTCAGGCTTTTGCTGGCCGCGGCAGCCTCCCTGGCTTTCTTCTCCTGCTCCTCCTGCAGACGCTGCTGCTCTTCCTGGGACCAGCAGCCGGCCGGGGGTTAGGGACCGAGTGTATGTGCTCTGCCCGACCCCCGGCCCACCCCACACGGCCAAGCAAGGCAGTTCCCGCCCCGGAGCCCCCATGTCAGGGCTCCCCGCCCAAAGCTCAGCACAGACCCGAGCGAGCCCAACCCCTGGCTGCCTGTACCTTTTTCTTCTTCTCCTCCAGCTCCCTCTGCAGCCTCTCCCTCTGCAGCCGCAGGGCCTTCTCCCTCTCCTGCTGCTCCCTGAGGACCAAGCACGGGCCTGTCAGGGCAGGAAGCTGAGCCCTGGCTCGGTTCCCATCCCTGCCAGGGAAGCCGGGCCCATGGCGCTGGCCGAGAAGGCGGAATGGCAGAACGGGCACAGCAGCCAAGGGCCCACCGCCGCGCCTGTGCTCCAGGGACTGGAAAGCGCACAGCCAGGGGCAGGGAGCACGCGGCTTCGGGGTCACCAAACCTGGCCCCGCTTCCAGCTGACGTAGGTCTGAGCCGCAGTCTTGCCTGCTGCACAGCAGGGATCCTGGCACCTTCCCTCCAGTCGCCCCGAGAATCAGGTGAGAAAACCTGAGCTACCTCGGACGGTCCCGCCCACAGGGGGGCCTTGGGCTCCGAGCCTGGCGTGAAGCGGGGCTGGGCCGTTATTGGGCTTTGGCGCCACCTCCACTTACAGCTGTGGCTTGAGCGAGGCCTTTAACCCTCTGCGCCTGCCCCCCTCTGGGAGGGGGAGCTGCTGGTTCCTACGCCACAGGGCCTTCACTCGAGGCTTCGACAAGAAACACGTGTGGAGTGTGGAGCGCAGCACCCACCTCCGCTGCCAACCATTACGACCCTTACCCGTCACCCCCATGAAGACCCTGGCATTGGGTGGCACACATGCCATCCTAAAGCCACATCAACTGTCACCCCACCGTTTGTCCCGCCCAGACCCGTCTCTGACTCTGCCACAGGACCAGGACACCTTGGTGTCAATCAAGAGGCACAGGGAGCCCTGGCCAGGTCACTCCAGTGGTTAGAGCGTCGTCTCGCTACACCAAGGTTGCGGGTTCGATCCTGGGTCAGGGCACACACAAGAATCAACCAATGGCCCTAGCCAGTTTGGCTCAGTGGAGAGCATCGGCCTTCGGACTGAAGGGTTTGGTTCTGGTCAAGGGCACATGCCTGGGTTGCAGGCTTGATCCCTAGTAGGGAGCATGCTGGAGGCAGCCGATCAATGATTCTCATCATGTTTCTATCTCTCTCCCTCTCCCTTCCTCTCTGAAATCAAAAACTAAAAACATAAAAAGAATCAGCCAATGAAGGCATAAATAAGTGGAACAAATCAACGTTTCTTTCCATATAAAATCAGTAACTTAGAAACTTAAGCACAGGGAGCAGGCCCCTGCGGCTCAGGCCCCGGCTTCCACTCCCCACTCCGCTCGCAGGGCTGGCTGCGGGTCCTGCCCGCACAGAGACCTCTGCCTCTGAGAGCTCCAGACCCAGGCTCTGCTGCCATGGATACCAAGGGGGGCAGTCAGAAATGATGGGGGCGGGCGGGGGAGCTGAGTTCTCATCACCACAGAGGAGGCACGGTTAGTGGGCTCTGCAGTGCACCTCAAAGAACTCCTGCTCAAATGCACACACACCCCCACCCCACCCTGTCAGCTGAGGACAAAATGAACCAAGGGGGCAGCACACCGGCTGGAGGCAGGACAGGAGAGTCCCAAGTGAGCCCGCCCGTCACACCTTCCCCTCCCAGAGCCACCACCACATTCGGGCTGCAGACCTCTGGGTGCGGAGCCAAGGGAAGCGTGACCCTCTTTTGCCAAGCCCAAGGGAAGCTGCCCCAGGGGGCCGCTCGGTCTCGCGTGTACACACACACACACGTGGCAGGACGCCGCCTGGGCCCCCAGGGGCTGCCCCCGCCAGCCTGGCCCTCCGGCTCCCTCACCTCTCGGCCTGGAGCCGCTCCTGTTCCCTCCGCCGCTCCTGCTCCCGCTGCTCCGCCAGCCTCTTGGCCTCGGCCGCCTTCCGCAGCCGCTCCTGCTCCTGCTCCTCCTCCTCCTCCTTCTTCTTCTTTTGCAGCAGCTCTTGGTGTCGCCTCTCTTCCTCCTCCTGAGAACGCAGAACAAGGTCAGGGGCTCAGGCCAGGCCTGGGAAGGAGGCATCAGAGACGGTCAGGGGCTGAGCCAGGGTGGCCCCACACCAGGCATCACGGAATCACCGCCACCAGCCGGAAAGGCATGTTGCAGCAACTGCTTCTGCGGCAGGTTTGGTAGTTAAGGCACAGACGGGAGCCGGACGCACTCGCTGAGACACTGGGCTACCTTTTAAGCCCTCTGGCCTTGGTTTCCTCATCGATCAAATGGGGACAAAAACACGAATACCTGCACCTCACATTCCCAGAACAGTGCCTGGCACGGAGCACACACTCAGCAAACTTAGCCGTGAGTGTCACAATCCGACGGACTCGTGTTCCCCAGGGTCGTAAGATCGACAGCTCCAAGGAAGAAGTAGGTCCCCACTCGTACAGGTGACCGTCCCACCCTCACAGCAGCCCTACCGAGTAGATCCCACCGCCACCGGAAGGACCCAAAGCACCGAGAGGTCCAGTGGCCTGTGCGGGCCACGCGGCTAACAAGGGGCAGAGCTGAGACCGGAAGTCTGGCTTAGAGTCCATGTCTGAACCCTCAAAGTGCCATCTCCAACGTGTTTGTTAATCCTCCTCAGAGCTGGATGCCACAAGCGCCACCAGAATTAAGCCAACCAAGTGGGGTGTGCCCAGCAGCCCTCAGGGGCTCAGGCAGCGCCCACCTGCCGCCCCTCCTCCTGGACGCCCACGCCCGCCCCCTGCATCGCACCTGCTGCAGCCTCCTGAGCCTCCGTGCCTCCTCCTCCTGCTTCCTGCGCGCCTCCATCTCCTCCAACTTCTTGGCCGCTGCCTTTTTCTTGGCCTTCTCCTCCGCCAATCGCTCCTCCTTGGCCTGCAGAGCCCACCCACATGTGCCCGTGAGAGCAGCCCTCCTCACTCAACCCTAGAGCGGGTCTCAGAACTGTGACAGGCACCCAAGGCCCCTGCAAACCCGCTCGTCCCTCACAGCCCAGGGAGGGGCGCCTGGCGCCAGCCCTGCCCAGAGCACCAGCCACCCACTCGCCAAGGGCTGCTGCTTACACCTCCGCCCTTGGGGGGCGCAGAACCAACTCCAGGCCCTGGACGCAGAGGAGAGGCGCCCAGGGCGTCAAGCCCCTAACTTATGAGGGTCCAGTTCTAACCCTCGGGCCCCAGCAGGGAACAGCCCACTGAAACCTGGCCGCCCACCAGCCCAGGGCCCGCACCTTCTCGGTCTTCTCATCCAGCTGAGCCAACTTCTGCTCAATCTGCTTCTTCTTCTCCTCCTTCATCTGCTCCGCCCGCTCCCGGGCCTGCAGCACCTTGCGCAGGCGCTCCTCCCGCTTCCTGTGAGCACAGGGCCGTCAGGGGGAGCCCAGCACGGCCTGGGCCGCCCAGGGCCGGGACCTGGGCCACTTACAGCTTCACCTCCTCCAGCCGCTGCCGCTTGGCCTCCTCCACCTTCTGCCTGCGGAGCTGCTCCGCCTCCTCCTTCCGCCGCAGCTGCTCCAGGCGCTGCCGCTCCTTCTCCTGGGTGGGAGGGGGTGTGAGGAGGACGGCCCAGGGCTGGGCCAGGGGCATGGCTGGCCCAGGACAACCCCCCAGAGCCCACAGCCTCGAGATGGGCAGCAGCATCAGACTGCTTCTGAGGGCAGAGTCACCCCCAAACACCCTCCATTGCCACTCAGGCTGAGGCCTTCCTTCGTCTTTCTGCTCAGGACACCTAAGGCCCTCGACTTAGCCCTGCCAAACTGTGGGCAGCACAAAAAAATAGGTTCAAAATTGGATGTACGCTCTGAGGATACCTATGTTCAAGTGCATTGGGAAGGAGAAGGAAGAACGAGACTGGGAATCTGACTGTGCTTTGCAACCTGTTTACGCTGTGTGTGCGCTGTAACAAGTGATCACAGCATTCTCAAGACAGCGGGAAAGGAGTCATCTCGGCCAGCAGGAGATCCGAGGAAGAGCAAGATGGACATTTTAGAACTAATAGTACAATCCCTGCACTAAAGGCAGTGGGTGGGTCCAAGGGCAGATGCAGATAAATTAATAACATGCATCCACTCTGAACACAGAGAAAACATATGGAAGAAAAATTAATAAGCCTGAGGCAACCTTGAGATGGCACCAAAGGTCTATCGCTTGTGCCATCGTCATTCACAACGGGAAGAGTGCAATGCAGGGGAAAGTGTGGAAAAATAACGGCTTGGAAACGCTCCAAATTGGGTAAAAGACATAAATTTACAGATTCACGGAGGTCATCGAAACCCAACTAGGATAAATCCAAGGAAAGCCATGTCTCGCCACATCATAATCACACAGCTGAAAACTTAACCCAAAGGGAAAAATTCTCAAAAACAGGCACAAACAAAGACACATTACTTAAGGGTGGGGGTGAGGTGGGGCAACGATCTGAATGACTGAAAACTTCTCATCAGAAACGATGGCTGCCAGAAGGAAGTGGCACCACATGGGTAAAGTGCTGAGAGCAAAGAACTGGTCACTAAGAACTATCTGCATTCAGTGACAACATCCTTCAGAAATGAAGAAACTAGACAGCCCTCGCCAGTTTGGCTCAGTGGATAGAGCGTCAGCCTGTGGACCGAAGGGTCCCGGGTTCAATTCCAGTCAAGGGCACATACTTAGGCTGCAGGCTCTTCCACAGCCCAGGCCCTGGATGGGGCACGTGCAGGGAGGGGGCAACCAATCGACGTGTTTCTCTCACATTGATATTTCTCTGTCTTTCCCTCTCTTACACTCTCTCTAAAAAATCAATGGAAAAATGTCATAGGGTGAGGATTAAAAAAAGAACACCAAAAAAAAAAACCTGGAGAATTTGTTGCCAGCAGACTCCCTCTCAAAGAATTACTAAAGGAAGTCCTCCCGACAGAAAGGAATACCAGAAGGAACCGTGAGACATAAGAACTAAAGAACAGTAAGGATGGTAAGTCTCTGGTTAGATACGATGGACCGTTTTCCCTCGAGTTCTTGACCATGTGACAGTGGGAGCAGGACTGGTGACAGCCTGGCAGGGCAGTTGATGTATGAGGCTGTGGCGTGTAAGAGAAGAATGCACACAGCGGGGAGAGTGAGATTTCTAATTGCAACTGAACTGAGATCGAAGCGACTGGGAAAGCCCTGGCCGGTGTGCTCAGTGGATAGAGCATCGGCCTTCGGACTGAAGGGTCCTGGGATCGATTCTGGTCAAGGGTAAATGCCTGGGTTATGGGCTCAATCCCCAGTGCGGGGGCATGTAAGACACAGCCAATCAATGATTCTCTCTCATCATTGATATTTCTATCTCTCTCTCCCTTTCCCTTCCTCTCTGAAATAAAAATAAATTTAAAAATAAAAAAATAAAGTGACTGTGAAAGTATGTAACGCCTAGAGCAACCAGCGAAAAACTGTAAAATGAAATAGTCAACATCACAACAGACAAATTAAAATGGAATACTAAAAATGCTCATGTGGACCTTCACAAAACATAGGTTTCAGCGTATAATTTTCAACAGAAACTTCACTGTACATTTTTAACATAAAAATATTTCTTTTCTTGAAGACAGAGAAAGAGAAAAAATGAGCCATGGAGGCGGAGTGGGTGCGGGAAGGCCCTGGAGGAGGCTGCGGGTTTGGGGGTCCCCCCGGGGGGGATTAGGTGGCCTTTGGCTGGCTCTCTCTCCAATGGGCCGGACCCACAGACCAGCAGGAGGCTGGTCCTCGCGCCATCACACCGCCTGCTGTCTGTGGGGAAAGCACCTGGGAAGCGAAAGCGGGTGCCGCCGCCTCTTCCTGCCCCGAGAGCCTGTGTACAGGCTCCCGCCTTCAGCAAAACAGGTTTTTGCCCCAAAAGCTGAGCTACCATCCCCAGCACAGGCCAGAGGACTCGGAGTCGCACTGTGAGTTTCACAGACAGCTGTTCGTATCATAGAAGGTGCTTCCGCACTGCCCCGCCCGACGGAGGGCTGGACTGTCCCTGTCCTGCCTTCAGAGCTTCAACAAGCAGTCACCCTGCACGCCAAGCCCTGTGCTGGCTTCTGGACACGACTTTCTGGTCACCCGATCTCTGTGCGGGGCCAAGGACACTGACGCCCAGAGATTAGGAACCAGCCCAAGGCCCTGGGACCTAGCGAGGACCCTGTCTCCTGAGGACTGTCCTCCCCCCACCAGATGCCCTGGGCAGGGGCCTGGGCTCCCCAAAGCAGGAAAAGGCCGTTTCCCAGACCGCTCGGCCATCCCTTGAGCCTGCAGGGCCCCGTTCAGTCGGGACGGGGCACAGGTCCCTGTGGGGTCAACAGTCCGAGTCTGGTCCACAGCTCTGGGCCTCGGTGCCCGGCAGGGGCCTGGCAGAGAAGCAGGCATGAAGGGCTCCCAGCCCGCTTGCTGGCAAATTGGAAGGTAAGCCCTCGCCATGGCCACCCAGAGAGCAGCCTCCTCGCAGGAGAGGCCAGTTCAGGGCCCACCTGTCCACCTGCTTGGAAGCCCTTCATCTGCCAAGCCCACGGCCAGCTGCGAGGCCCTCGGGCCCTCGGTGGGAACTTGGCAATGAAGCAGCTGCCGCTGTGCAAGGTGGAGCCCCGGGGAGCCAGGATTCGGCCAGCAGATCCCAGCTCTGTGCTCCCAGCTCCCGGCTGGGCCCAGCCCTGAGGTGTCTGAGAAGAGACCAGCTTCTGTGGCCTCCTCTCCAGAGACCACTGCTGACAGCCCCCCTGTCACCTGCCTGGCCTTCCAGCACCCATTGCTCCGCCCTGCCCTCCGGTGGTAGCTCAGGTGTGTGGCCCAATAAACCTCAGCTCAGACCCCGAGAGGAAGCCCAGGGCTGGGCAGGAGGGAGGGAGGTGGCTGTGGGGAACTTCACGCTGTGGCCTGTGGCAGCTGCAGGTCACACACCCTGTGCTTCCTCTGCCTCAGGGAGGCCCTAACACACCTCCTCCTGGCAGCAGGCAGAGGCAGAGGCAGAGGCAGAGGCAGAGGCAGATGGGGGGAGGAGGCCGCGCCCAGCAGGGCCCCAGCGCCCCGGGTTCACCGCCCGCCGCCCTTACAGCTCCCCTTTGAGTGTTAGTGCCTCTGCGCGTGGTCAGTGTGCAAGGCTGGTTACAGCAGCAAGTGCTGGGCGGAGCGAGGTTAAGGACAGGAAGAGGTTTTACTTACAACGAAGCTGCACTGTGGAGGAGAGGAGACAGGGAAAAGCCGAGTTAATGCCAGCCAGGGGAAGTCCTGGAAGCTGGCCAGGCTCCTGGCTATGCCAGGGCGTCTGCTCGGGCCGCACCCTCTCATCTCACCCAGCCCACATCCCACCAGCGTGTCCCTCACCTTAACCCTCCAGGCACTGGGGTGTGGAATGGGGGGCAGGGCGGGGGCCTGCTAGGCCAATTCCGCTACTTCCCAGCCCAGGGGCCACACTGAGATGGCCAAGCCTCTCGGCCACAGCACAGAACCCAAGAGTTCAGGACAATCTCAGATGTCGAGGCAGCCCATGGCCAAAGAGGCCTGAGCCGGCCGTGGGCCAGTGCCAGGTCACACCTGCCTGGGCGCAGACGCACTGCTCCCAGCAGCCTCGGGGCCAGCCAGAGCCTCAGGGCCAGCCAGGAGCCTCGGGGCCAGCCAGAGCCTCAGGGCCAGCCAGGAGCCTGTGGCCAGGCAGCCCCTCTGGCAGAGCTCAGCTCGGGGCACGGGCTCCCTCACCTTCGGGTCCATGCGCAGGGGAGTGTTGCGCTTAATGAAGGATTTCATGACGCTGCAGCGGGAGGCGGACGTCGGGGTCATGAGCATCTGGTTCCTCTGCACGGTGTGCAGGAAGGTCCGGGGAGGCCGCACCGCCTGCGGATGGGTCAGCGTCAGGACTCAGGGCGGGCCCAGGCCCTGAGGGTGGGCCGACGCCCACTCACCTTGCTGGCCGGACAGGGAGGGGAAGGGGTCTTGCTCCGGGGGGGCTGCAGCTCCTCCTCGTCCAGCTGCTGCTCCTCGTCGAGCTCACTCACAGCCTGCTTGTAGCTGCGCTTCCTCCTGCAGGCACGGAGGCAGCAGCATCACAGGGCTGACCCGGGCACCCCCTCCAGAGCCCTAGCCACACCCCATGAAAGTTCACCCCATGAAGAAAACCGGGACCAGCCCATTGGATTCTAGGCGGCAGAGGTGGGGTCTCCCTGACCGCCCCTCCACTGCCCAGGCAGAGAAAGGGAAGTGGCCAGTCCAAGGTCACACGGCCAGGAGGACACAGAAGGATGGGGTCTAGGATCTGGACACTCCCTCCCAGGCCAGACTCCCCAGCATCAAGCTGCCTCCTTCATCGGGTCAGAGCACCAGCCCCTGACCACAGGCCCATCCTCCCCAACAGGACTCGAGGTTCATGCGCTCTGGGCCCCTCGGAACAGTGGCCCACCCCCCTTCCCCGATACAAACCTGACACTCTGCGGTGGCTCCGTGGGGCCATCTGTTTGGTGGGTCTTGGCCTCTGTGAAGACAGCAATTTCAGTGAGGGAGCAGGGACAGCATGGCGGGTCGGGAAGGGGCCCACTGGCACAGCCGTGGCAGACCCCAGGGTGGCCCGGGGCAGAAGCATCAGCCTAGGCAGATCTGTGGACACCCAGAGCCAGCACAGCATCCCCGGCCCATGGACCGCTCACCCCCAGCCGGGCCTGTGAGAACTGCAGGACAAACCAGGGCTGAGCTGGGGGACCCTGCAGCAGCGGAAGCCTGTGGAAGGTGCAGGCTCTCCCAGGCCACTGACAGCTTCCCAACCCCCTCCTCCTGGCCCTCAGCTGGAGCCCACGTGACAGGAGGGCGGGGCTCCCATGAGCGTCCAAACAGGAGGGGATGGGTACATGTTGTTTCACAGCCAGGACAAAGCTCGGAGCTCTCCCGCTCCCTGCATTCCAAAGGGGCCTTGCAGCCCCTGGGAGCTGTGGGGCCGGCATGGCCATCGTCCCTGACCCGGCCGGGGTCACTGGGGAAGCCAAGTTCAAGACCCCGCAACTACAGCACTCTTTCTCCCCACCAGGGAGACGGGAGCTGGACCCCAGGCACCTATGGCAGAGCCTAGGGCACTCCTGTTCCCTGTAGACAGGGACCCACAAAGGTGGGAAGTGAGCCAGTGCCAAGGACAAAACAAGACCCAGCACAGAACAAGACCACTGCCCCTGGAGTGGCGTTCCAGGCCTCGCCCCAATCAGGCCCTGCCCCCCGTTTCCTGCACCAACCAGCCATGGCCACTCACACGACACTTGGCAGCAGCTCCAGCCAAAAGGCGGGGGATGGGTCTCATTTACCTTCAGCATCAGCCCAGAAAATGGGGCTTCCCTCTCCCCGAGAGCAAGGCAGGCCGAGGCCCAGGCCCGCCTGGCGCTGGGTATGTGCACACGGCAGGTCAGGAAGACTCACCTCGCTGCCCCACGGAGGGCGTGTCCTGGCCACCGGCCGCAGGCTGCGAGCCGGGCGTGCCAGTGACAATCTTGGGGACCTGAGGAAAGAACCAAGACTTTAGGGGTCTACCCACGAGGCTTGCAACCAGGGCAGCGGCAGTGTATCCCGGGCAAACCCCCTGAACCTGCCCCCTTTTCTCTGACTTCTTAGTGAGCCAGCGCAGCCCAGCCTGGGCTCATTCCCCCCCCCCCCCCGCCAGTCCCTCGCCTGTTGTCCCAGCCCTTCCTTGTTTCACTGTCCCCAGCTTTAACCAACGTCCCCTAAAATTCAAAGTAAACCCTAGTCGGTTTGGCTTGGTGGACTGAGTGTCAGCCTGCGAACTGAAGGGATCGGTTTTGATCCAGTCAAAGGCAGGTACCTCGGTTGCAGGCTAGATCCCCGCCCCTGGTCGGATGCGTGCGGGAGGCAACCAATCATGGTATGTCTCTCAGAGCCACGTTTCTCTCTGTGTGTCTCTCCCACTCTCTCTAAAAATCAATGGAAAAATATCCTTGGGTGAAGATTAACAAAAAAATAAATAAATTTTAAATAAATAAATAAAAATTTTAAATAAGACTCTAGCCCTGTCCAGTGTGGCTCAGCAGATAGACCATTGCCCTGCGCACCGAAGGGTCATGGGTTTGATTCACGGTCGAAGGCACATCCTGGGTTGCAGGTTCAATCCCCAGCCCCATTCAGGATGCATGTGGGAGGCAACCAATCGATGTGTCTCTCTCATATGGGTATTTCTCTCTCTTCCCCCGCTTCCCTTCCACCCTTAAAAAAGAAAACCAATGGGAAAAATATAGTCACGTGAAGATGAAAAAAAAATAATAGGACTTTAGGGACTCACAGCACAGAGCACACGCCCAAGGCCCTCGAGCCCTCCCCTCCCTGGCCTGCCCGCCTCACCTCTGGCTCAGCCTCCACCACAGGCTCAGCCTCCTTGCTGGGGTCCTCCTCGGGGCTGAAAGCAGAGCAGGAGACACTGTGAGACCCACCAGCCCAAATCGCCCACAGGTGCTCCACCTCCAACCCCCAGGGAGAGACCCGGGAGGGGTGCATGTCAGAGACCCTGGTCTGGGCCGAAAACCCACAGCCCCCGGCAGGACGGGAGGAGCAGGGCTCTGGAGCACCTGCTGCCTGAGGGATGTCAGCTCTGAATGTGCCTGACCCACCCCTATCGGGGCCTTGACTCAGGATGGGAGCTGCCTCCCCGCTCCCCCTCAACCCCTTGGGCCTGGGCAGCCACGTCTCTTTTGAGGCCTGCTCTCCGCTCACCACGGGGCCAGCAAAGCCAGCAGCTCTGCCGTCACCCTGTCCCATCCCAGGCACTGGCCCCTGCTGCAAAGCAAGGTGTGGGCCTAGTGTTAGCGCCGGCAGGATGCAGCCCCCAGGACGGGAGCGCCAGCCCAAAGCAGCACTGGGTGCGATCCCAGAGCAGGGAGCAGCCCAGCCCCTTCTCCCGCCCCGACTGGCAGGTGGCTCCTCCTGGCTGCACTGGCTCGTCCACAGGCCTTGGGATCTGACAACCTATGGAGCCCACATCCCCAGGATGAGGCTGGAGGGGCTAAGGCCAGGCCAGGGCTGACAAGTGATACTGACCGGCAATGTAAGAAGACCTGACCCCGTGCCCCTCACTTCCTGGTCAGACTGGGGCAGGGCCAGGGCTGCAGCAGTGGGCAGTGCCCAGGAGGGAAAGGCCGGGCATCAGAAATGCTTCCAATCCTAAGCACACCAGGACAACCTGGCCCCGGTGTGTCCTCCCAGACCTAGGAAGGCCCCCAAAACCTGGAACTGAACTCACCTGACTTTTTGGGGCACCTCAACATTTAGGAGTCTCTCCAGGTAACTGTGACCTGAGGGGAAAACAAAGGAACAAAAGCTGACCTCAGAAACCAGCCAAGTGCCACCTGGCTGATGGCTCAGTGGTTAGAGCACCAGCCCTCGGACCTTCTCCCTCTTGACCCTCTTCTTGCCACAAATGCAAAGCAAATGACAGGGCGCTGGGGGCCTGGATTCAGATCCAAAAGCGGAACAGGTTCTAGAGCAGTGGTTCTCAACCGTGGCGGCACATTAGAATCACCTGGGAATCTTTTTAAAATCCTGATTTCTCGGCCTCATCCTCCGGAAATTCTGTTTCTTTGTTAGTAATGTTATGGCCTCACCCCATAACAAAGAAACAGAATTTCTGGAGGATGAGGCCCGGAAATCAGGATTTTAAAAAGATTCCCAGGTGATTCTAATGTGCAGCCAAGGTTGAGAACCACTGTTCTAGAGTCTCTCCTGCCCCGCTCCCTGGAGCTCCAGGCTCCACCGCCCCTGGGGCCTCCTGCCAGGATCAGAGTCAGGCCCGAGGAAACCTCTAGGCAGGTCCCACCTGGGCCCTTTTGAAGACCCAAACACAGACGGGGGTCAGACCACACACCTGCACGCGCCCCAGGTTTAGTATCCGAGCCCCGTAGCCCAGAGCAAGCCCTTCCCCGGGTGCCCGCACCGGCCTGCCTCAGCCCCACCCTGGGCTCTCCAGGAGGCCTCCTCCCCAAGTGGCTACTGGCCAGTTGATAGACTCGGTGGCCTCGTTAAACCTCAGTTTCCTCCTCTGTGAAATGGGAAAATACTAGCAGGCTAACAGAGCTACTGGGGGGACCAAATGAGATAACCTTGAGTTTTATAAATCTTAAAGTGCCAGGTAGGTGTCGACTACAATTTTAATCCATAATAATTTAAAACCTGGCCGTCCTCTCCATCAATCCAACTCCCTCTCCTCCTCTGCTGGACCCGTAGCAGCCTCCTCCTCGTCTCCCTGCCTCATTCCCTCCCTCCCTCTAGGACATTTTTAATAAAGTGCCAGGAACTTCCCAACAGCCATCCAGGGCCACAGCCTCGGCATTAGTGGGGCCGAGCCCCAGCGGCCCCATCACTTGCCATTTCATGCCTCAGGGTCTGCCTTCGAGCTGGTCCCTCTGCCAGGGATACCTTTCCCCACATTTGCTCCACCTGGCAGGCCCCACCTCCTCCACGCAGCCAGCCTGCCTCAGAGCTGCCTGTCCTCCTGCGAGGCTCCCACGGGGACCATGGCCCTCTGAGCTGGGAGCCAATGAGGATAGAAACAGGGCAAACACTGTTCTAGGCGCCCTGCGGGGTTAAAGAGGGGACCCCGACCCTTTCAGCAGATGCTGTTACCCCCCAGCTGACAGGTGCGGAGGTGAAGGGACGAACTGGCCCTCACACCCAGCTCGCTGTCCCCCGAGGACGAGTCGGCTGCGTGACTATTCACACCCTTCACCTCAGTATCTTCAGACTCAACCGCTTCCCTCATAGGAACAGCCCACAAACGTGGTGAAGCTGAGCCCGGCAGGACAGCGGGACCCGCCGGCCCTGGGTACAGTCTCGGAATGCGTTAACTACAGGGCCGGCGGCCCACCTCCCTGGCCTCAGTTTCCTCATTTGTCAAACCAGAGGCTTGGCCGAGATCTGCACTGTCCACACAGTAATCACCCGCGAAGTGCGGCTCTGTACACCTAAATTAAAATGTAACAACAGTAAAATCCAGTTCCACAATCACACCCCTGGTTTGTGGCTGGCAGGTGTGAGACATGACATCCCCACAGTTCTCTGGACAGACAGCTCCTCACTGGATGATTAGATGGGTCTCCCAGAGCCAAGCTGGGCGCCCAGGACCCCACTGCACCCCACCCACTGCTGAGCCCCGACTCACAGATGATGCGGGCAGAGGCTGCGGGCTCTTTGGTGGCATTCTGGGCAAGTCTGTTTGACCTGCGGACGGTGCTCCTGGGATTGTCCACCAGGGAGTACTTCTGGGCCAGAGAGTTCTGGGGACCCGGGGAGGACGGGGCGATCAGGCTGCGCCGCACTGACCGCCGGCCCACGAGGGCCTCCTTGGGGGTGGACAAGTTATCCGGCAGGATGGGCGCCAGCACCCGCTCCTGCCACGGGGAGGCTGGAGAGCCGGGTGCGTCCTGCGGGCCCGGGGAGGTCCGTGCAATCCTGACCTGGGGTGTAGCCATCAGAGAGCTCACGGCGACCGACTCCAGTCTCCCGGCCTCTGACTTCTTGGGTGTAGATTCCTCATCCGACGGAGCCGGGGACGGAGCCCGGGCGGAAATGCGCTGGCTGACGTGCTGCTCCGCTCTGTGGCGCTCGCTGACGCCGATCTCCACCCTGGGCACGATCCTGGGCTTCCTGGTCAGCGGGGTGGGAGACTCGGGGATGGGGGACGCAGAAGCCATGATGGCCGCTGCCGCGGCCGCCGCCGCCGCCCGGGTCACCCGCCGCATGACGGTGCCGGTGCCGTTCTCCCTGGCCACCAGCTGCTCCACCTTGTCCTCGCTGATCGCAGACTTCCTGCGGGACAACCTGCCGAAGCCAGCAGAGCAGAGGCTGAGAGACCCAGCAGGGCAGGGGGCACCCAAGTTCGAGCGGGGGGCACCAGTCTCCCCGCGGCCGCCAGCTCAGGGCGAATGTAGGTGAAGGGCTGGGAGGCAGAAGACCGGTTCTGGCCCAGGCTCTGCCCGTTGCCAGGAGACGCTGGGCCGCCCTCTCTGAGCCTCCATCTCCCAGCCTGGGACGGGGGGCAGGCTGGGGCTCCCCGCACTCTGGGAAGATTAGTCAGAGACCTCTCGCTGACTGTGCTCACACCGCCCAGCACCCTGCCGCAGGCTTTGCTCACGTCATCACTGAATCCACGGCGCTGAGAGGCAGGGCCATTCTCACTTTAGATTTGAGGAAACTGAGGCTCAGAGAGGTGGGAATTAACAAAGGGACACAGAGCTTCCTACGGCGCAGAGCTGGGGTATGTGCCCAGGACCTCCTGCCCCAAGGCCCAGCCTCCTTTGCCGGTCGTCTGCAGCCCACGGCCATTTCCATGGGCATCACCACGAGCAGAGCACGGGGCTGAGCAACAGGCCCCGCGGCCACAACTGGTGGCTCTCGCCCAGACAGAAACTTGGATTCTGTCTTTTCCCACCTCTGGAAACACTTCCCATCCTCCAAGGCCCGGATCAGACACCCCGACCCCAACACACTCAGACACACACGCCCTGGTCTCCGCGGTCTTGGGTCATGCTGTTTCCCTGTGATAACTCGCCCTCAGCATGGCCACATGGCGCACATCACCACTCCTGCAGGCCCCTGCTCCCAGGCCGCACGTGGGAATCAAACCCGCCTGTGGGCACCAAGCCTCCAGACTCCGACTGCCCAGCTGTCCACCCCCACGCAGCCAGTGGCAGCCCCCGGCCCCTCCTACCTTTTCCGGATGGGGTCTCTGTTTTCATCCTGAACATATGAAATCCGTTTCTTTTTCCGTCGGTTCTTCTGAGAAGGCGTTTTGGGCATCAGCTCGGGCTCTTTGCTGAATTCTCTGTTTGATAAGAGGAGTGACATTTGTAGCTGCCTGGGACCACTGGCCCCCTCCCCTCCCCAGCCCAGCCCCTACCCACTTCCTAGCAGTGACAGGTCAAGTTGGGGTCACCAGCACCAAGTGAGATCTCCAAGGCCATGTGCCAAGTCCCCTGCCGGGCACTTGGGGCTTCCCCCCAGGGACGCAGCAGGGGAGCAAGGTGGCCAGGGGAGCATGTGCAGCGCCATCCTCTGAGGCCCAGCCCACACCTCTCCTCCCTCTTCCCACTGCACTCGCTCGGGCCGCAGCACCCTGGGCCCTCGGGAGAGACCCCTGTCTGTCGAGCCTGTCCAGTCGGGCAACGGACGGCGATGCCCCCCGAGTGTAGCAGCCAGGAGCCCCTGCGCCTCCTGCCCTGCCCGCCCGGCCCTCACCTGGTGAACATGCGCTTGGCCTCCTCCTCGATCTCCTCGAGCCACACCAAGTGCTTATTGTCCACGTTGCACACAAACTCCATGAGCTTCTGGTCACACAGCTCCAGCAGGTGGACGGGCCCGGGGGCGGTCGTCCCCATGGTGGCTCTGTCTGGTGAAAAACAAAGACAAAAGGCACAGGGCTCAGGGCTGGAGACTGGAACCTTCTCCAGGGAGAGCCTGCCAGGCCAAGCCCCCAGCCCCCAACCCCGAGCCCCCAGTCACCACAAGACACCAAGTGCCTGAACCAGAGCTGAATTCCAAACGCCAACCTAGTCACCTCCTTTTTGCAAAAAAGGACGACCCGTCCTCTTCACACTCTTCAAGGGCCTTCCCTCTGCCCACTCACCACACACCACCCACCCACCGCACACCGTCCCCACAAGTCTACACCTCCAACCCAATTCCGGTATCAACAGTCCCCTTACAAGTGGCCTTTTCTGGGCTCACAGTGTAAGTCACGGCCAGTGGCCTTCCTGGATCAGGGAGAAACTGTGCGGCCACAGGACCCGTTCACCTGCCCAAACGCAGCCCCGCTCCCCCTCTCCTGTGGGTTCTTCCCTTCCTCCCTGTGCCTGAGCAAGGGCTTAGACACAGCCACCCTGAGCCACTCACGAGCTGACCCCCGGCCTCACGCCAAAGAACATGGAACCCAACTGCCTCTTCGAGGGGGGGTTGGGAGGGGCTCTGCTCCGAGGGGGTGCTTCCCCCCACCCCACCCCCCGAGAGGCCCCACCACCTCTCTCCTTGAGCTGAGATGCCCCCGACGTGGGTACGGAAGCAGGAGGGGAGCCGAGGAGCAATGCTTCTTTTTAAGAAACCTCGTGTAGAATTACGGGGCAGGGGAGAATACAAAGCCAGTTTTCTCTCGTTTTCTTAAACAGGAGCAGCTCAGGAGGGGAACCCAGATGGTGGTGGAGGGAAACGCCCGCACTCGCCACCTCCCACAAACACATCAAAATTACACCTAAAATTCAAGTGTAATTCCATCATCCAGAACCACCTGAAGGCTGGCTAAATGGAAGTCCTACAACTAGAGAAGAAGAAAGCAGGTTGAGACTGGTTGGAGGGACAGAGACGGGGAACCAGCTGGTCCAGCACCCACATGGGCTGCGGAGGCCGCCATGAGGAGCAAGGGGTCCCAGACCCACAGCAGACCCCCCCACCCAGGGTCCCAGAGCTGGGAAAATAAGTCCCCATAACTTTGGGCCATAAGAATCAGCAGGGTTTGGGGCTGAGACACACAGAAGCTGCCAGAGACCCAGGTGTCCCTCTTAAAGGGCCGAGCACGAACTTACTCGGACTCACTTCCTTTGAGTTCCAGGGCCAGGAGGTGTTGGGGGACCCAGACACATATGGGGAGGATCTGGATTGTCTGGCATCGGGGGAGGAACTTGGGACAGCTTTCTACCAGACGGAGGTGCTCACAAGGGTCATTGTTCCTGTGCTGGCACCACCCTCATTACAGGGCTGACTGGCAGCCATATCTGAGTCCCCATCAACCTGGAGCACACTGTTTGCTCCACCCCCGTGATTCCCTGAGACCCCACCCCATCCAATTTGCAGCCCCACCCAAGCTGTTTGCAGTAGCTTTTCCATGTGAAAGGCCTGTCCTGGCTTAGGTTTCAGACTTTGCTAAAATCTCTCAAACAAGGTGCAGCTGGTGTCAGCATGCCCCAAACCTATCACTAAAGGGCCCAGGATCCGGCACCAGCACCAGCCTGCCTTGCTTCACAGGTGGGCCTCACCTGGGCACTTCCAAACTCGGTACAAATAGGAGGATGCTGCAGGCCTCCCTGGAGGCCCTAGAGCCAGTGCACCCGGTGGACAGCTTCAGACCACAGCAGATTACAACTCTGCACATCCACAAGCAACACACTCGAGGGGCAGCCTCAGTGAGCACCAAAGCCCCACAGAAGCAAGTCCTGCTCCATAGGGGTGTTTCTGCACAGCAGCTCTCCCACTGTAGTCGCAGCTGGTCCTCACAGCCAATTGGCCTAGAGGTCAACTCCTCCCAGTGAGGCCAACAGCAGTCAAGGCTCAACTACAAAACTGTGCACACAGCCCACACAGGGGCTCAGCTAGAGTGCCCAGCTCAGGTGACGAGGGAGGCTGAGCCGGCCCTACAGACCTATTACACAGGGACACTCTACCAACTCCCGGAGACGTAGCAGCTCTGCCTAATACATAGAAACAAACACAGGGAAGCAGCCAAAATGCGGAGACAAAGAAACATGTCACAAGTGAAAGAAAGGGAAGCGAGCAAACCACTGGGTAGATTTCAAAACCACGGTTACAATAGTACTACTCAAGGATCCTCATGAGGACCTTCACGGGAGTTAGTGAGACTTCCCAGGTCTTCCACAGGGAAGCTTGTGTTTAGCAGAGCTCAGCTTTAAAAGGGGCCACAAGTTAGGACAAAGGTGAGCCTGAGAAAGGAGGGGGTCAGTGCACCAAGGAGGAGGCTCCTGGGAAGAGCAGCATAAATGTCTTCGGCCGTGTCAACCCTGTGCACAAACCCAGAGCACCCCACCTCCCACCGAGAGAGAAGAGAGCTCATCCTCCCCTCCCCCAATACCGCCCTCACACCACACAGCAGACCGGAGGCCCCACCGCCCTCCTTTGCAATGCCTGTTCTTTTTTGAGGGTGCAAGAAGTTAGGGAGCTGCTCCCATTTACCGAGCCCTATTCCATGCCCTAGTCAGGCATCATCTCATTTAATTCTCTCCCAGGTGCAGATGAGGAAACTGAAGCAAAGAGAAATTAACTCAGCCACCCTGGGGTCTGGATTTAAACTGTGCTCTTAAACCACAAGCTACGCTGATTCAACCTCTGACAGGCAGGCATCACGTTTGGGCCTGGGGCATCCCCACCCACCCACCCCCCCTCCAAAGCCAGGGTGTGTTGAGCGAAGGCTAACTGTACAGAAACGGAGTCTGGCACAATCCCATCCCACAACCCGGGCGCTGTACGCTACCCCCGCGTCCAGGTCAACAGGCGGCCTCCCAGACCCGGAGCAGGGTGCTGGGCACCCGGAGGGGACAGGCTTATGTTCTCAGAACCTGTGACCTAGATGGGAGGTGGGGGGTCATCTCCGCCGGCCCCAGTAAGGAAGATCACCTCGCCACGTGAAAGAGGTGACCCGTCCATTCCCAGGCCGAAAGGGGGCAGCCCCCCTCCCCCACCGCCGCCCCTCCGGAGTTGGCGGGACGAGTAACAAATTGCTAACCGCCACCCGGTCGGGCACATTCTTGCACCCCATTCGGCTCGGCTGGGGCTCTCGCCCCACCGCCACCCCGGGCGACTGTCCTGTTATTTTCATTATAGGTCTCAGATGAGCGGCCTTGGCTTCCAGTGGGCCGCCTGCACTGGCCCCCACCTGCACCTGGTCCTGGACTGACCCTTACAAGGGACGTAAACACCCCGCTCCCCCTGCTCTGCCCCGCTGGTGCCATTTTGGTCTCAGCCCTTCTGCTAGCGGATGTAACAATAAATGTATAATCCTTTACCCTTCTTGGCCTCCTGCGTTCCTCCTTCAGCGACCCTAACACACACCCCCTAACACACACACTCCC